GCACGCCGCGGTCAGGCCCCCGCCCCCACGGCGCGCCCACAGTCCACTGCACACGGCGCAGCGCAGACCCGCAAGCACGGGACCGGTCCGTCGCCGGCACGGCAGCCCTGGGAGCGTGCCCGGCCGAGGGGGACGGTCACGCGCACGCAATTCGCAAAGCACCCGAGCGACGGTGACAAGCCGGGACGCAAACAATAGTTGCCTCCGAGTCTGCCCTTCCCGCGGCCGCCTCTTGGCGCACACGCCCTCGCGCGTGCCAGGCGCCTCCGGCTCTCACCCAGAAACGTTCAGCCTTTCAGAAGAAACCTTTTTATTGTTTTTTTTGCCGAAGAAAAAAAGCCATATAAATATTAGAGTATAAAACTTGCGTGAGACACGGGAAGGGGGTGGGGTGGGAGCTACGAGACTATGCGAAGAGAAGCGCTTATAGAAGGAGTCAGTACGGGGAGGGGGCGCCGCAGCGCGTGGACACAGCACGAAACACAGCACGGGCCGCCGCAGGCAGCTCAGGGACAGACGGCTGCGCGGAGCCCGCCGCCCGCTGCCCGCTCGCCGTCACGGAGAAGCACACCGAACTACACTATTGGCTATTCTACACCAGCCGGGGTAGGGGGCAGGGCTCTAGCTACTGTGGGGGCTCTCTGGCAGTCCCGCTGGGTGCACGGGACCCCGGGGCAGCAGGGGTGGGCAGAGGAAGGTCTATGCACAAGGAGGCACTGGGGGACTTTGACCAGGCTCTGGCCACTAGGGGGCGGACTGGGGGCCTGGGCAGTGGCCTTCACGGAGAAGAAATGGCACCTGGCAAGGTAAAGGGCCACTCGAGGGGTGCAGGGACCCTGCGGAGAAGCCCATCCCGGGCTGAGACTTTCTGTCCACTTGGTCCCTGCCCTAGCTTCTTGCCTCCCCAACCCAGGGACTAAGAATGGCCCAGCTGGCCCTCCCTTCCTACTGGGGCTCCACCGACCCTTCCACCAATGGCACCTCTGGAGTACCCAGCACCCGCAGAGGGCCCCTCTGACCTCTCCAGGGGACCCAACCCTAAACCTGCTCAGAGCGTCCTTGGACTGAAATGCCAGTTTAAATCCGTTGGTCCTGGTAGCTCAGCCCAAACTGGCTGCCTGGGCTGAGCCGTAGGTGTGGGGGGTGAGGGTCCAGCCTGGTGCTTGGTTTCTGGCTGGAATTTGGGGGATCTGGCCAGTACTCTGGGACATACGGAGCCTCCTGCAAGACCCTGATACGTTGATGGGTCAAGCCTTGTCCATCCCCCCCATCCACATCCACATACTTCCTTTCTTTATCTTACCACCCCATACTGTCTTGGAACATGCAATGGAGTCTCTTGTTTGAGGAGGGGACAGGGAAGTCGCGCATGCAGTGGGAACATCAAACAATGGAAAACGAAACAAAAGAAAAGACTGGTCCCCAAGGCGTTGGGAAGAGGCTTGGTAGCAAAATGCCCTCCCTAAATCCAGCAAGCATCGGTACCATGGGGATGATGACATGTCCTCTAAAACTTGAGCATCGGTCTCAGGCTCGGCACGAAGATGAGGGGACTGGCACCAAACCATGCTCTGGGGGAAGACTGAGAAGCAAAGGGGAGGTCAAGAGGTCACGATGCCCTTCCAACTCTTCAGAACTGTGAGCCTTTTTAGTTCACCGGGTACCTCAACACCCCAACCGCCTAACTCAAGAGAGAGGAACTGGTGGAGGGGTGGGCTGGGCTGGGCTGGGCTGGGGAGCAGGGAGGCAAGGGATGAATGGGCCTGATTGATTTGGAAGATGGAGGCGTTCCGCTGTGACTCAAGGGGCTGTGACAAATGGTTCTCGGTGTCTACACTAACCCCACTACCCCCCCCATGGGTACAGCAACTGATTGGATGGGGGTTCCCAGCAGAACTCCCTTTGCATATTCAACCCCCTGGGGGCAGAGGGGTGGGGTTGACTGGGCACTTGTTTCTGTTTCCCGAGGGGAGCATGGCCTTGGCCCCTGCCAGTATCCTGGGGGTGAGCCCTGAAATTCTGAGGCCTGGGTACAGGTAAGGAGAAACTGGGCTGGTTGGGGAGGGAGGCTGCCTGTGGCTCTAGGCCTGGCCTCCACGTTACTTCTTCTCCTTCTTGCCCGACTTCTTCTTGTTGCCATTGCCACCCGCTGGGGCCTTGCCCTCCCGCTTGCCAGCTGCGTTGGTCAGTGTGGCATTGCTGCCAGGGATGTAGACGTTCTGGCGGTAGTCGGGCACGTGCTGCAGTGTGAACTGGGGGCCGTAGCGGGCGCTCAAGCCCATGGTGCCGGCGCCCCCTCCCAGGGTGGAGCTCCCATCAGCAGCTTCTGCAGAGAGAGAGAAGGAGATCAGAAGGGCTAAACTTGCTGTCCTCAGCAGCCACTCTCTTACCCCACAAGCAGTGAACGAAGGTCTGCAAAGCACCCTGGGCCCTGACCTTGTGAGCACAGGGAATACAAGGGTCACCAACGCAGTCTCTGCCCACAAGGAGCTGAGGGTACAGCACTCTGGGCAAGTCTACCTAACCTCTCTATGCCACCTCAGTTTTCTGATCTGCAAAGTGGGGATAAAAACAGTATCCATCTCTTCTGGTTTTGGTGAAAGGTAAATGAGCCTGAGGTGAGTGGATTGCCTGAGCCCGTGGGATCAAGACCCGCCTGGGCAACTTGGCGAGACCTCATCTCTACAATAGATCAAAAAATTAGCCGGACGTGGTGGTGCGTGCCTGCAGTTCCAGCTACTTGGAAGGCTGAGGCGGAAGGATCACCGGAGCCCAGCAGGTCGAGGCTGCGGTGGCCGGGAGCGGCCACAGCACTCCAGTCCGGGCGACTGAGTGAGACTGCAACTCAAAAAAACAAACACACACAAAAAACAGGTAAATGAGAAAATGTACTGAAAGTACCTAGAATAGCACCTGGTAGCTGGTAAGTGCTTCTCTCAGTGCTTCCTGGAGGACAGCACCCATGGTGTGTGCATGCTCCCGGCCTTCTCCAACCAGTGCCTGGCACAGAGTCGGAATTCAGTAGTCCTGTTATTAGT